GTGAGGGACCTAGCATCACCAAAGCCCTGGGGCGGGAGTAAGTTGAACTGGGGCAGTCCCTGCTCCCCACAGACAGGAGAGAGCGATTCCCACTCCACTTCTGGGGCATCTCCAGCATCTCCCTTTGGCGGCTGTAGGGCTCCCCTCCCTGTGCCTCCCACCCTGCTCCGGAATCATGGAGAGACTGGCTTCTTCCCTCTCGCAGCTTGACATTCATCAGCCTGAGCTCCCTCTTCTGTTCCCATGGTTACCAAACTCTGCCTGCAGCCCAGGGGCAGAGACTCAATCACTACTTGCTGGCAGGAGGGGGACACACTCAGTGCCACTCTCACTCGCTGAGGAGAGGGGTAAATCCCAGCTTTGGGTCTGTCCCTTCTCCCCCCAGCCCCGCATGGCCACAATCATCCCTGGAGAGAGCACACACTCCCTGCTTGCACCAACACCATGCTGCACTCAGACTCAGGCAGACAGAGGCTGTTTGGGGCATGAAAAAAGGGTGTGGGCAACTCTCTAGGGAGAGCACCTTCACCCATGGTGCTAAACCCTCTGCTCATCTCCGTATGGGCTCACCCCAACCTGTTAGTCAGCTCACACCCACAAAAGCCAATTCCCAACCCTACCCACTTGGACAAATTTTCTCAGACAAATTTGTGTCTGATGCAACCCTCAAGGGTCATCCTATAAGAAAGTAACACGCCAGTGTAAGCAATCCTACAAACTTAGCAACTACCAGCATCTGTGCAATAACTGGCTGCTTCTAAAACACTCATCCACATAATATCTGTGTAGCCCAGGAGCCACAAGTAGGATTGCCTGGTGTCTGGTTTTCACCCGGACTGTCTATTATTCATGGTTAAAAAACCCAGAAAATTCCATTCATGTAAAAATGTCTGGTATTTTCTGTTTTTCTTGGATGGAAGGCATCTGGTGGGAGGAGTGAGGAGATGAGGAGATTTTTAAAGGCTCAGCGACTTTTTTTAATTTATTTTTTTGCTCCCCAACTTTGGTTGGTCCCCCGTTTTTTTTTTTTTTTTTTTTTTTGCACAACCAATTTTTTGCATGCCATGTTCGGGATTTTTTGTAAAAGCATCTGGCAACCCTATCCACAAGAAACCCTAGAAACCCCCATGTGTGCCCAGGCTGTGATGCTACGGTACCAACTTAATGAGTACTGCATACTACGCCTAAGCATCTGCAGATATCACAAATGAATATGCACTATGCAGTTTTCATAATCACTGCAATAACTAAGCAGCCATTGCTGAATAGCATTCTCATGAGTATCTACATTCTTACGTTATTTAATAGCACCTCCGAGTATAGGCACTTCACGTCTACACAACAAATCAGTGCACACAGACCCAAGAAGCAACCCTACAACACCAGCCCAGTAGAGCACTGCTTTAGGCAAACCTACAACAACTCACAGGTGCATGTAGAAGTAGGCAGGAGGTTTGCAGCGGCATCACATCCTTCCTGAAACTGTCTGTGACTCTGAATACGCACCTTCCCCCTAGCTCTGAGAGCAGGTAGCTGCCCTGTGCCCTCCCCTCTACTTTACACACCCTCTTTGCTCTGGTAGGGGACGTGTAACTGCAAGGCTGTTCTGGTGATGGCTCTCCCCAGGCATAGCATGCACCCAAGGCTCTAGTGCCTGTTTACCTGAAAGGGTCCCGGAGGGTTGATGGGGACGTGTGCTTGTTGCCACTCGTTTCCTCTGTTCCCACTGAGCGACCAGACTTGAGTGTCAATGGCCCGTTTGTTCCGCACACGGACCAGAAGATTCAAGGAGCCTGCAAGAAAGAAACTGGACACTGGAGGCAGGGGTCAGGCTCCATCTGCTTGCAGGTGTCCCCAAAGTCCAGCTGAAACGGGACATTCAGGACCCTATATCAGTGGCTAAACACAGCAGCCCAATGATTTCAACATGGGCTAGTGGTCTATACCTTTTAGGATCTGGGCCACAGAGACCACCCTGGGCAAGACTGTGCTCCTAGAGGAAGAGGACAGAAGGGGATGAGCACCAGGGAGGTCTGTAGGACTTGAACAGAGTCATGGCAGCCCCGGCACTGACGCGGGAGGATGGTCAGGGATGTGTAATAAAGATGATGAAATGTTTGGACTCGGGTGGCTGGCTGAAAGCAAAGACTAAAGGCATGGAATATCTGTAACTCTGCAGTTGGACTATGGTGGGCACAGCATCACTGCAGGCTCCCAGCCCAGGTAGCCTGACGCATGAAAGCTTGACTTGAGCCAGTGCACTTAAAGTTGCCGCTCCAACAAAGACATGAGCTTTCCCCTGCACTCAGCCCCCCCGAAGTTGGGTGGGCTTGAGAGACTGAGCCGGTACCAGAGCTGCAGTGGCAACACTGCTGCTTTTAGCACAACAGTGCACATCTGTCTGTTTAGTCTGGGAGGCGAGTTCCCAGGTGCCATGTAGACATATACTAAAAGAAGGGGAGAGAGAGTTTGGTCAGAAATGTCCAAAGAGTGTCCACATTAATGGGGAAGAGGGATTGCTTGGGAAGGGCCAAGGGACTGGTTGTAGGAGTGACGCCCTTAAACCAACAAGGAGAACATCAAGAAAAAGTTCTCAAGGTGGTGAGACAGAAGACAGTGGATGAGTTTCCAAAAGAGAAAGAAAGGAAGCTCTGTGTCTGCAATTATTCAAAGGTCACCTTGAGTTTCATCCGGAACTGGTGAGGAGGCAAGATGGATCAGATAACCTAACTTTCCCTCTTGGATTCCAATGAGATGAATTAGAATATGCGAGAGAGAAAAATCGTTGGAAAGGGGAGAGTAGATCCTTTCCTTGCAGGTGCTATTTTGCACTTGGCTTGGCACCATGAGCCACAGTGGCATGTGAAACAGCACATGGATCTCTGGAGAAGTCAGCTGGCCTAGTGTGAAGACCCGGTCTCTCCTCCATGAGAAAATAGAGCCAGGAATGAGGGAGGCACTGGTGGAGCCTCTAGCAAACAGGAGCTTTGAGATACAGGTGTCTTTATGTCCTCCCTGCCCACTGGTCTCTGAAACTCCCAGTGAAGGAATTTCTGACGGAAGAAGAATGAATCCTGAATCTCTTCCTCTGGAGGCCGGAGGGTGAATTGATGGTCCAAGCAGGAACTAAATAACCCCATAGATCAATGTCAATGAGACTGTGTTGAGCGCAGCTAATTACAGCCACCAGAGCTGGGAAGGTGAGAGGTAGAGAGGGAAGAATTAGCATGAAGCTGCCAGTGAGCGAGGATTAAAGGCAGCCACCCTCTATTCTAACTTCACTCAGTGACAGACACTACGATCTGCCACACCAGAGCCTGGCTGAGCAGCCAGTGGTGGGACAAATCGTTCAGTAAATGGACTCTGGTGCTCACGGGAAACAAAGAGGGCAAAATGAGCAGCTGGCTTGCAAAACGGTGCCGTCTAGGTACAGGCTTTGAACTCCTGGCTGAGAGCCAAACCAATCCTGAGCATACTCTTACTGGCAACTCCAGGCCGCTGGTCTGCAGCAACAAGGGAAAAGGAGCAAGGCCCACCAAAGATCTCTGGTAATACTAATTATACACACTTCCCAAGTGAAGGTCTTGGAGCACTTCACAAACATTGGCAAAGCCTCACAACACCCCTGCAAATGTGGATCAGTAGGACTAGCTCCACTCTCCATAGAAAAGCTCAGTCACTTGCCCAAATCGGTGTTAGAGAACTAAGTGTGCCAATCAAAGCCCCCTGCTCTAACTGCTCACCCAGGCTGCCTCTCTGAGTTTGCCTGGAGAGAATCAGACCCTCCCCTCGCCTCGCTGGCCTTGGTGACTATGGCCTTCTGATGGATTCGTAGGGCCACTTTCAGATTTGGCAAAAAGAATGGAAGCCCCTGGAAATCAACAGGGTTTCAGCCTGCTCCTTAATTGGCTTGGAGTCATAGAAATGAAAGATTGAGGAGGGCTTCCAGTCAGTGCTGGTTTGTTTTCTATAATGCTCTCCAAGTGCAGCTAGCTTAAATGCCTCATGATAGGAGTACCTCCCCTTGGCTCTAATCTCCAGATGGGACCATCTGGTATTATTGGTCCTGGTCTATAAAAAGAAGCACAGCTTCCATTCCAGTGAACCACCCTGAATCCTGAGTTGGGAAGACAGGTGGGGGTGGTGAAGCTTTACTGGAATGACAGAGGTGGCTTCTGTCCACCCCACCCCTCATCTTCTGCTGGGGCAGTGGGGAGAGTGATACACATAGGGGCCCTCTGCTGGGACTGTAGGGCACTGATGTTTCTTTCTTCCCAGACCAGGCCCCAGTGTTTTTGAAGATCAGGAACAAAGGGCTGAGAAGACAGATCCCAGCCAGCCTGATGACCAGCAGAGGCAGGCCTGCCCCACATCATGCCAGCAGAAGGGCTGTGAGCATGAGGCTGCCTGCCAATCACCTTTTTCCAAGTGTGCATGGGCTGGGGAAGCACCAGGAGAGGCCCTGTGTCGTGATCCAGGCTGGATGTGGCATGGGGCCTGGCCCTCATGCGCTTGAAGATATTCCTCTCAAAGCAAACGCCATGAGCTGAAGTCCTCACAGTCCTTGTCAATGACCACAGGCAGCTCTGGTGACGAGGTGCCTTCTCCAGGCCCATACACAGGAATTTCAGTGTGTGGGGGGGTGCCAGCTGTGGGAGGGGCTCAGAGCTGTCCCCTGCCCTGCAGCCCAGACCCACCCCCAGCCTCGCTCCTGGGGGGGGGGAAATCAGCCCCAAACCTTCCCCAAGTGGCCAGAGCACAGGGCAGGGAGGCTGGGCAATGTACTGCCCCAGCCTTCCCTAAGGGACCAGAATCGGCCCCATGGTGGGCCATGAAGGACTGTGTGGGGGTGGTGTGTTCACACCCTTCTTGCATACAGGCCTGTTCTCCCATCTTTACTAGTTCTCCTTTCCCCCTCCAGCCCCCTGATAAATACTTCAGATGGAAGTGGCCAGAGCACAGGGCAGGGAGGCTGGGCAATGTACTGCCCCAGCCTTCCCTAAGGGACCAGAATCGGCCCCATGGTGGGCCATGAAGGACTGTGTGGGGGTGGTGTGTTCACACCCTTCTTGCATACAGGCCTGTTCTCCCATCTTTACTAGTTCTCCTTTCCCCCTCCAGCCCCCTGATAAATACTTCAGATGGGCTCAGGTCAAGACAAATGCCTTACGCCTGTCAGGGGACCAAACGTTCCTCTCCTAGAAGAGAGACTGCCTGTCCAGCCAGTCGTTTATAAAGACTGCCCCACAGGTCCAGATGGACAGTCCCCAGCAGCAGGCACTGTACGTCTCTGGGGTAAGGAAGGATACCGTGGTGGTGCCAGCACAGGACAGGGAATCAGGACTCTGGGTTCCCTTCCCAGCTCTATCCCTCTCTGACCTGCTGTGTGATCTTCAACAAACTAGCTCTGCGCTCTCTCTTTCTGTGCCTCTGTTTCCCCATCTGTGAAATGGAGATTATGCTTTTTGATCCTTGTTTCAGCAAGTGGGTATTCATCGTACTGACTTTCCAATGGCTCCAGGCAGGAGAAGAATCTAACTGGGACATGGCTCTAGTCCTCAGCTCACAGCCATCAGAGAGGGGCAAGGCCTGCTCTATTTCTTCCCTGGGACCCAGTGCAGGATGGCTTTTCCCCATCCCATGAGAATTTTTGACATGTTGAAACATTTTCCAGTCTCAGATTGGGAGGCAAAGATGAAATCTCAAAAATTTTCAGAAACAGAAAAACTGGAAAAAAATCAGTTTGAGTCAATCAAAATGTTTAGACCATATTGAAAGGTGGTTTCAATGTTGATATGTTCCATTTTCAAGGAGTAGATTTACTAATATTTCCAAACAAAAAGTTGTTTCTACTCAGCTCCCTGCCCCTCAAAAAAACCTCTCCTGGTTCAACAAGCTCAACATTATTTTGTTACCAAACATTTGTGGAGTCGAGTGCTTCACTGAACCTGATTCTGATTCACAAATTGCTGGTCTCGCTGAATCAGCAATTTTCAGCAAAAAACTCCCAAGCAACTGTACCTGTGGTCTATCCCCCCGCCTAGTTTTCCTCTATAGTCACATACAGTTTCCCATTTAGAAATCCATATCCTTCCTGGCAGTTTTTGTTGTCTCTTCATTCTCCCACCTTCACCCTGCTGACTGTTTGGCCTTTCCTCAAAACACCTGCTAGTGATGCACCGATAAGCGGAGGCCAGGTGTCTGTTGCTAGTGTGCTGCAGCAGGTCAGAGTCCATAGTGGCAGAGAATCAGAGAAGAAATCCCTGGGCACCACCAGTCTCATTGGTAACTCCCTCCAATGGGGTGATCTTATTTACCTGTATCATTTCATCTTTTCAAAGAAAATAAAGGCCAGTAATAAGTGAGGAGGAATCAATTACGGCATGAGTAAGCCATGCCGTCTGCTGGATCTTTAAACCCGGAGCTGGCATTTCAGAAGAGTGGCATGTACACAAAAGAGCACCAGCTGGGATGCCAGATACAGTAACCCAAGGGGATGCTGCTAAATGTTACCTGCTTGCAGGATGAAAAGGTCTCATTTCAGTTGCCATAGGATAGAAACTTCACTCTGGCGGAACTGCAACAAAAGTTAGGAACAGCTGGCATGGGTTGGCCAGTTAGCCAAGGAACAGGGATGGGAATGACAGCAGCATAAGCGGCAGTGTGGAGTTTTCCATAGCAGTTTTAGGCAACACACTATGGGCATGTCTACACAGCAGGGCTAAACTCGAAATAAGTGACTCAACTTGAGCAAGGCTAATTGCGTAGCCTAAGTCAAAAGAGCTTATTTCTGCTTTGGGCGCTGTCTGCACAGCAGTTATTTCGAGAGAGAGCACTCTTCCTCCAACTTCCCTGACTCCTCGTATAATGAGGATTACAGGAGTAGGAGTAAGCAGCCTTCCAACTCAACATTATTTCAGCATTATGTCGAAATAACTGCTTGTGTGTGGACACAGATGATGTTATTTCAGAATAACATCAGCTATTCTGAAATAACAGTGCTGTGTGGACATAGCCCATGTGTGTGTGAGTAAGGGTTGCCGTACAGCAAGCCTAACATACTGACCAAAGGGATGATGTATCTATAGTATGGATGGAAAGAAGCAAAGTAACAGAGTTGAAATCTAGTTCAGAAAAGGACAGCATAGTGAGTAGAGAGAGACACATTTCTTGTAGGCATAACACTGAATCCTCTAGCTCAATGAAGTGGAGCATGAAGCCAGGTGGTGTTTGGAATCACATCACAGACCCGGATTAGCTGTGGGATGAGGTGTGGTTTCAGATTGAATGACACTGTAGCTCAGGACAAACGTTCTTAAAATATTCCACCTCCCAAAAGGTGGAAATTTCAAGAGATCAGCTGTTCCCAGGGCATTTCATCTGCATCCAGATGAGGCCAGAAATTACAGTTGGGTCCAACTTCCAACCAATCAGGTCTGGGGATTGGAATCAAAATATCACCCCAGAAATTCAAAAGGGCTGCATCTAGACTGGCATGACTTTGCACAAAACCAGCCACTTTTGCGCAAAGTCTTCCCGCCTGTCTACACTGGCCGCGAGGATTTGCGCAAGAACACTGACTTTGTAATATAGAAAATCAGTGGTTCTTGTGCAAATACTCCGACGCTCCCGCTCAGGGATAAGCCCTCTTGCGCAAGAGGGCTTATCCCTGAGCGGGAGCGTCGGAGTATTTGCACAAGAACCACTGATTTTCTATATTACAAAGTCAGTGTTCTTGCGCAAATACTCGCGGCCAGTGTAGACAGGCGGCAAGACTTTGCGCAAAAGTGGCTGCTTTTGTGCAAAGTCATGCCAGTCTAGATGCAGCCAAGGAGTTGTGATTCTAAGTTAGATAAACAGAGATGTAAATAAGAGAGCAACTTACAATAGATGCAATGGCTTGAGATAGAATATAGGAGGGCAGATATACCACAGCTTTGTAGAGCCAACTGTAAACCTAAGAGGGCCACAGACCCTGACCCCGGCAAGGAAACAAAATCCTTTCTCCTTTAACCATGCCTCTGACAGCATCCTGGGTACAGCTGTTTATTTTAACACAGCTGATCATAAAGCAAGCCCAAAGCTCAGAGCAGGCAAATCCCTGGAGCAAGCTAAAGCCCTCAAAAGGAACCTATTACTGTTCATAATCCCGGGAACAAACACAGGCCTCTCTTTTTCTCATTTAAATAAATGATAATGAAAAGCAATCAGCGGCAGGCTTGCGTTCTCAATTATGATGCTGTGGCAGAAAGTTACCACTCAGAGGTGAGAGACGGAGTGGGGAAAACTATCATATTGGCGATGGAGGGAGAGAAATACTATCAAGCTGCATTGAGTTGTAATTGATAGGAATGTAATTTGTCTCTGTGCCACAATAAGAGGTATTTACTCTTCCATTGTCTCTAATGATGTTTTGTATAGCAACATATGTGTAATAAACCCAATTACAGGCTCTCAATGGCCTCCGAATCCTGCTTGCTCAACGCTTCGTTTCACTTCTTCTTTAATAGATGGGATTCCTTCCAAGCTCTCTCGAGCCCTAGTCCTGTCTGTTGGATCACTCACACCAGACTTAAGAGTTCTTTGCAGACAAAGACCCTTCTGCATGGCAAGACCCAGCAATTTCATGGAGGGCAGACTCAGCCACCTAATGGCACAACTGACTGCTAGTTACATGTTGGAAAGCACTACCACAGACTATAGGCAGAGGATAACATATGGATCTCATAGCACTTTGCAAGCATGAATGAGTTAACCCCATGTGATAGGTATATACGGTCACAAACTGGCTAGTGTGTATGCTTTCCACAGAGGGCAGTGGTGCGCAATCAGAACTCCTTAACTGTGTGCCATAGGCTCTATCCTGCTAACCAGCAGGGAAGATTTTCCATTTGCTCAGGTGGTAGAGGTATGAGTTCTTGGAGTAAGAGGATCAGATTTCCCTTCTTGCTATTGCCATGACTTTTTAAATCAATATCTAGTGCAGTGTAAATGATAACATGTTTTTAAATTGGCAATGTTCCCTCCTTGGCAAACCTGAGAAAATCAGCTTCTGGTAGAGGCAACTTTGTTGGGTTTGGCCAGGGATTAAAAATACCCAATTAAGTAGCTGACAGAAGGAAGGAGCAAAGCCTGGCAGTGTCCAAATCTGTGCAGTCTCATTGTAGGCTGCGTCGTCATGGAGCAGAAACATGCAAAGGGAAAATAGAGTTGCACATGCCCAGGTGTATGGAGGTGTGTGTATGTCGCTCTCCACACCACAGGCCAATTCCATCCCAGCTGCAATTTGACATCCATGGACTTGCAATGGAGCTTCATCAAGAAGAATCTGGCTCACTGTCTGTAAGATGTGGTAGGGGGAGGTGATGTGTGCACTCCCGTACAAAGAAATGAATGACAGGAGGCATTTATCAAATAGGCTCAAATTAAGGGGCATAATACTGCAGTCTACCATATGCAAAATGCCCATGGACTTTGTCTGATGTCAGTAAGAGCCTTCCTTGGTGAGACCGACAGGATTCGACTCAAAGGATTTTTAAATGGGATAATTTTAAGCTACTAATATTTACTGCCATGTTTAACGAGAAAGTCCCCACTCAAAACCCAGCCAAAACAAACGAGAGGGAGGGTTCAGGGGCTAGTGGTTAAAGAACAGGGAGTCAGGACTCCAGGGTTCTAGTCCCAGCTCTGCTTCTTATCCATTGCAGGACCTTGAGTAAGTCCTTTTCTCCTCCCTCTGCATCAGCCTGTGTAAACAGATAATGATAAAGGGGGGGAGGATTTGGGGGAGGCAAGTTCCCAAAAGGTCAGGCTGTCTAATTGCAAATCCCCCCCCCCCCCCCCCCCCCCGCAAGCTGAGCCTGTGCTCTCAGCCTCCATTGTACCTTGGTCCCGAGCACACCTCTCTCACATGGCACAGGGGAGCCAGGACACCAACTTACAAAGATCAAACATCTCCCTCGGCAGCAGATTCCCTCTTCCTGTCACCAGCTTGGTCCCACCCTTGGATGCTCTCAGAACAGTCACTTGGGCTTATGAGTCTGTCAGTCTCCCCTGGCGCTCCGCTCCTTGACAGGGATGAGGAAGGCAAGAGAGGAGGGCAGAGCCTGCAACTCTCTCAGCTGGACACTTGATTATTTATAGCTCAGCAATGCGGAAAATAAAGGAGCAACCGGGACTGACTGAGTCTTCAAGCACTTGCATTCGTCCACGTGGCAGGAGGAAGGGCTCCGGGAACCTGCGCTACTGCTCTGTATCTCAGCAGGCGTCTGTGGAGATGGCACCTGCTCTCTACCTCTCTCAACAGGACCATCCTCTAGCCCTGGCCAGTGGAAGACGCTTCCTTCCCCCAAGATAAGGGTCCGAAGCTTGGAGCCCATAGGTCACTCAGGTCTTTGCCCCTACATTTGCCATAAGGGCTACGATACACCCCGTTATCTCATTGTCATGAGGAGCTGAGGCTCCCCTTCCTTCTCGCTGCTGTGCTGCTGAGGTGCTGACACAGGCAGGCTGTGTCTGGCTGGACTTGGTGTCCCTTATTGGCCCCGCTTCACACCAGCACCCCGGAGATGCTTCCAATCAGCTGAAGTCGGGCTCAGGCCTGGGTTTGCCATGCTGCTATTCTTTTAGTACGGAATGTACCAGGTCCAGGCCCACTGACAGGTGAGGTCAAAGGGGCAACTGCTCCAGGGCCTGATGATACAAAAAGGTCTGGCACTCCCAGCGGCTACCACTACTGCAGCAAGTGCTGTGGCCAGAGCCCCAGACTCTAAATTGTCATGTAGCGTGCTCCAGGCAGCTCGGAGGGCTGGCTGGTGGGGGAGCCATGGCATGGCATACTCCAGGCAGTGCTGAATGTCTCCAGCCCTGCCCTTCTGCCCGAGGTCCTGTCCCTTCTGGAGCACCCTGCCCTGGTCACCTTGCTCAGAGGCTCAGCATTTTGGTTGGTCCCCCTGACCAGGAGACAGTATCCCTAGTCAACCAGGGTCACAGTCGCCCTGCAACCTTGATGGAATGGTATTTTGGATATTGCTAATAGACCTGTTCCTTAAACATGGCTTTCCATGAATTGGCATATATATAATATAATATAATATTGTATGGCACCGATCTACCATGAGCCCTATCCATGATATCCATTATTCGTTTAGAGATGCCACAGTCAAGTAAGGGAAGGCACTTCCATTCTAAGTAACTGTTGTCCATACACCACAGCGAACAGCCTTGTATGCAGCCCAGGTCAATTTCAAGGGTTGAGTTGTCATCCTCTGCTGAGGCAAAGGCCTAGCAACTTCATGGACCACACTTCTCTACGGATGTTAAATATCGAGTAAATTACCAGTCGAGTAGTCGATGGAATGTCCATCAACAACTTGACTAGTCGATAGGCACTTCCACATTCCTCCTTTGAAATGTACAAGACCCCCTATTGGGCTCCTGTGCATTTCAAAGTAGAAGCGCCCACATAGAGCCTGGGATCGGTGGGGGACTCCACAGCTGACCCCCAGCTCTGCAAGGTTCAAAATGCTGCGCTGGAACCCAGGATCAGCTGGGGAGTCCCCAGCTGATTCCGGGCTC